ACGTTTAAAATTGACACGTCTTAGTGATTTTCATCACTATGGTTCCATAGACGTGCTGAAACACTCACAAAATTGATGTTGCGGGCTTTTGTATGCGTTATTCAGAATCTTTGTCTGGCTGAGTACGTGCTTAAAATGACGCATATAATAATATTGTTATTATGCATAAAAAGTTTGTCACAATCATTTATAGTATATCGATGAATGAATCATTATTTGGCAAGAAAACACTCTAGTTTTTTCGTCCAAGCGGGATAGGTTCATTCTAACTATTGATATTTATCTTTTCAAAAAACAAAAACCGTTAGAATATGGCATTGTCAGTTTTACATAAATTGTACTTCATTCTTCTGATGAAAAATTTCACATGGAATGTTACTGTATGTTTCAAATTACTGCTGATATTGTATTCTTTTTTGTCTGCTGTTTTTCCGCTGCGCCTACCAGTTGATCCATTTATTCAGTCTAATGAATTAATAAAAATCTATTCAATTCTCAGTATTAATTTAGTTTTTGGAGAGCGGGACATCAGAAAAAATTGAGATTTTTAGGGCAGATAGATCTTAATGTCTAGAGTTAAACTTGTTCTCGATTCAAAGTTTTCGCATGCTGTCTCCTATGAGCTACTGAAATCACAGTTGAGAAAACTCGTCTCCATTTCTTCAAGATACTACGCTCAATCAAGCTAAAACTTATTTTACAAGTCCTAAACATTGCTTGATGCAGGTATTGTTTTGTGGTTTCTCTTATTTTTGACGTTTGAATAAAAAAGCAACACCCATGGAGTAAAATATTCAAGGAAACGGACTGCGTAACGCGTTTCTGAGATTGCAGCATGCGTTTCGCAGCGTTTTTTCAATATAAAACGCGTTTCACAGCATTCTTACTTCGATAGAATGCGTTTTGCTGCCGTCGTTTTTTGAAACGATCTGAAACGCGTTTTTCCAAGATTGCGTTTCGAAGCGTTTCCGAAGTAAAATAATGTCGAACGCATTTTGGTCGATAGGTAACGCGTTCCAGAGACACAGTTTCGGAGAAATGTGAAACACGTTTCCTTTTCAAACACATTTTGCATCGTTTTTGTTTGAAATGATGCAAAATATATCTGTTTTGCACACAGAATCTTGCAGGAATTTATCTGTACAAAACGTACGAGTTAAGCAAAGTTAATTCTGGCACTATTTTAGAAATTATACTAAATGGGATTTGAATATTTTGTTCCTTGCACTGTTTCTGAACATGAAAATCATGACCCAAACTTTCCAAACGCAAAATTAAAATCGAGTTCTTCTAAATGTTTAGGCTGCTAGACTGTTATATAAGTCTGATTGGTAGTTAGGCTAATGTTGAACATCAAAGTGTAAGAAAAATATTTTTTTCTTCCTTGAAAACTCATTTCACTAGGTTTTTATTGAAAGAAAACGTGTTTCGTAACGTTGAACCAAGCATTGTTTTAAATATTGAACAATTCGAAAAGATTTAGTAAAGACTGATGCTAGTATAATGTGTACGACAACTTTGTTTGTTTATTTGTGAAGAAAAGAATCTCAAGTTATTTATAATTTGAATAAGTATTGGTATGAATTCATATTTGGACTACTTGATAGTGACTGATGATACTGTGTACAATACTATTAAATATAAATTTAGTTCTTACTTTGTTAATGTAAGCGTGACTTATTAATAAAAAGAATATTCGATTTACAAAAGAAGATTCTTTGCATTTAGTGATGCTTTTGGATAAAAGGATGACGAATTTACATACACAAAAATCTATCATCTAAAGAAAACAATTCAAAAAATTTATTTTTAAATTTCTTAAAATTTATATCTAAGAGATTCAACTTGTTTAAATATCAAATACAATTTAAATTAATTAAAATCGTTTCAATTCGGTATTTAAATTTAAATTTAAACAAGTTCAAATAAAAAATATACCATGAGGAGATCAAACTCGTTATTGGGTATAGTCACCAAGGAAATGATAATTTTTAATTTAATGGTTTGGGATACTGAAAATCTAATTTAGTAAGTTTACGGAAGACTATAGAATAAGCACTTATATCATTAGATTATTTTAGTTGAACGGTTTGTACACATGTCTTCTATTCTTATGTTCTCGTGTTCGAATCTATGTGTTGGCTTTATCAAAATTGATCTAAGTTATAGCTCTAAAGGTGTATGAAAAATGTAAGCGAGTAAATTAATTGTATCTGCAATTCAAAGTGCATGAAGTACTTGACGGTTTTCATTTTTTTCCATCTAGAATATACGACACCACAGTTAGAGAAACGCTACGAAACGTTTTTAGAAAAACGATCGTTTCACAGCGTTCGTATTAGCAGATGTGAAATGCGTTAAACCGGTCAGCATTAACGCGTTTCGCAACTATGGAAAAATGCGTTTTGAGAACGCGTTTTTTTCGTAGAAATTTACGCCATGGGCATGTTTTTAGAACAAAAAACAATATCCACCTCAAATAGTGTATGTAAAAAAATTCCGCTAGATCGAACTTACTACGTTGGAGGAACGAGAGTGTTGCTATACCTTTGGTCATGAAAAATTTTTGTGAGAAGAATGCGAAACAATATACAGTTTTTGCTATTTTCGTTATGTAAGTTTGATTCTTTCCCTAATGTTTTAAAGTCTAAAAACAATTTTCGGATCATAAAATATAGTTACTAGATATGTACTAATTGAGACGACTATACAATAACCATAAAAGAAACTCAAAATTCTGAATTAGGAACATAGAGTACCATTAAACGCAACAATTTGAACTGTTTATTATTAAAGATTTGTTACAATCTAAGTTCAATAAGAATTAATCATACGTCACTTAACTATTATAAAATATACAAAAGAAATCTTGACGTAATACATATTTGACTTACTGAAAGTTTAGTGACTGACGTATTTGAAATTTTGTTATATAATCGCGTCAAATTTATAGCTTTGACGAAACGTTTTAAGATCAACTAATTACCAAATATTTGATTATATTGTAATCAAGATATACATCTATAATTGATGTTTCACTGTAGAAAAGTACTTATAGATTTTTTTGTTAAAAAAATGTGTTTTCAAAATTATTTTTAAAAAGCCAAAATTAGATTCATCTTATTCTTTGTATGATTGTAAATCTATTCATATGGCGTCGAGTTCTATAGTTAATTAAACAATATCTTTGAAATTACATGGTCTCATTTAAATATGACTTCATCAATCTAGTTTCTTGATCTCATGCGATGTTAGAAGCTATTGAGACATCTACAGTCATCATTGAATGCTAAATGAAATTAAAGCTGACCACTAAAAAATAAAATTGAACTGCGAAATCAAATGGATTGAGTTTTTACATTTGTTCAAAATGAACTTGTGTTATTCAAAAACGCCCGAATCGAAGAAAAATATTTTCAATAAGAAAAATCTTGTTATAGCTAATTTCACTACTCAACGTGTCTTAGTAGAAAATTTTTTTACAGTTCTAGATTGAAGGTCTTTTTTAATTCTAATTTTTCAGTAGTCTTCCTGAGCTGACTCCCTTCTTTCAGTGAAAATTTATGTATCCCAAAGATGTACTCAATTGTGAAAAGAGTCGTTATTGTTCGATTTAATCCTTGTACAAAATAGAGTGAGAGTATTAGAATGATCGTAAATAATAAATGAAGTCCTTGATAGTTGAGATTATTTTGGACTATAATAAATATTGATTATCATGGTAAAAACAAAGTCACTGTTAAAAGTATCAATATTGAACTTTGCACTAATAAAAGCACATAGCTTTTTTTATTTATTTGTTATTATAGCTTATCAAACGAGATTTTTTAATCTCTTAAACCAATTTAATCTTCGTGTTGCTGTTGCTTAGCAAACGACTTCAATAGATATTATGCTTTTATTAGAGTTCAAGGAGCTACCAGTTCAAAATTTAGTTCAAATGAACGAAGGAACTAATTAAACAGTTCAGTTCTGATTACGTAAAACTTTCAAAAGTTCATGGATTCCAAACTGGAGCAGAACGGGTCAACATCTACTTCTTTCTTGTTCAGCTCTTTAAAGATGGATAAATGCTATGATCCATTAATGTAATTGCTGGTGAAAAAGTTAAGTATCATTCTAATACCTAAAATGAATTATTTTCCAATTCTCTTGCAATAGAAATTAAAACTGCGTTTTTATGTTTTACAAAATTTTTATTTATCACAATTTACGAAAAAAAAAACAATATAAATTAAATTCTTCTTGACTTGATGATTTTGTATCATTGGGATGATAAAAAAGAAGGCCATACATCAATTGTTCGTCTGCATACGTATTATTCGACTACCAGTTGACCTAGGCTATTCAGTATGAAAATGAAGTCAAAAAGAAATAATTTTCTCTCGTTAATTTACCATTCATCAACAGCATGAGCTTCTTCAATATAAACAGTGATCATATCAACATGATCTTGATAAAATCCATTAATTGATTAAATTGTGGTACAAGAGCACGAAATGGTAGTCAAGTCTATGAAGCAGTAATAATTAATAATAGTCAATTTAGATGAAAATAAGATAATAATGAAACGAATGCACCATTCAAATTTCATAACCACCCACACCCACATCCTTGAGAATATCGGAATGCTGAAAACAAACTGTCAAATAATCAATAGATTGCAATTAGGTGTCAAAGACTAAGAAGTACACATTCCATTCATAGTCCAGTTTTTAGGACGAATCTTCGAACGACATATGCACTTCGCATAGTTGCTGACTTTGATCATGATACTAGATCATTCTTATTTGTTGTTTCTTCTAACATAATGCATAGTTGATCCACAAGAATGTTCAGATAGAAAGAAGTGATTGATCTGCTGATTCTAAAACGATTGATAAAAATATTCTTGACGGTTCACGTATTTATTCACTCATAAAAAGTATTAAACTGCAAAATAAAAATCTAGCAAAAAAAAACAATCTTTTAATGAGGTTCAACATCCTTTATCGTGGATATCAATGCAATTTCTTTCCTTTAAAAAACATTGACCAAGTATCTTTTCCATAGCCGTTGTCCATCGATTGAAATGAACGTGAAGTAGCATCTGGTACTTTCTTGCCGAGATAATATACATTCCACGTATCTTTGGTATAACCAGTGTAGGGTTGAAGTATTTCAAATGATCGTGACGTTGCATCCGACATCTTCTTTCCAAGATAAAACACGTTCCAATTATCTTTGCCATATCCGAAACCAAGATCTTGAAATGAGCGTGCTGATGCATCAGCAACTTTACGATTGTTAAAAAAGACATTCCAGTTATCTTTGATGTAGCCCATATAAATTGGATCAAAGTCATTAAAGCCTTGTTGAGGAAATGGAATGGTTCCGCCATTGCTGGTAACAATAAAGAAGAAGATAAAGAGAAGAGAACTATGTGAATTCATTTTCGCAACGAAGAACTCTACTGTGTCATATGAGAAAAGAACTGCAAAGCAAAAAAAAAGAATATCAATCTTTTATCAATCATCGATAAAAACATCAGTATAAATATTAAGCTGTGATCTAATGTGAAGGAAAAAAAGAATAACTCTTTATTGCATCGATCAGACTGAAAGGTATGCAAAACAGCTTTTCTTTCTATTACTACTTTTATTTGATGACAAATATTCATTATTTTTAGCTGCATAACGTGTTCGGACTTAATTGGAGAGAAATGATTTGTATAAATTGTTATGATTGAAGGAAAAAAAGCATACACCATTAAGGCAATTGTTGCTTCAAGCTATGTGTAATTGCGAACGACTATTGATACAATGGTGCATCAAACTATGATAAATGATTACAGTCTTATGCAATCGTGTCTTCTACTGGATAACTATCAAGAAAAATTCTCAAAACACGGAATTGAATTCGACTATACTCTTCATGTTTTATTACATGTCGAAGCAACCATTGTTGCTAACTCAATATTTCGTCAATTGTCATCTCCATCAACCCGAGAACCCCTTTTGAAATAAAAAGAAGTATTAGTTTTATTCGAAAAGGCAAAAAGAAACAAATTTAAAAGCGTTTTTCAAGTTTAACATAGACAGCTTCTGGCTGACGAACGAGATGTACATCAAAAATTTTGAATTTTTGTTCCATTGCATCACCAGACAAGATGATGTATTCACGAAGAAGCCGAGATAAACACAATTTGATTTTCATTAGCGCCAAATCACATTCCAACACAATTACGTGGACCTTGATCGAATGGCATATATGCCATTGAATGTCGCCGAAGGAAATGTCGTCCAGGTATAAACAAATCTGAATCGTCAGGACCCCATAAGTCTGGATCACAATGCAGCGAAAACATATCCTGTTGAATGATACTTTCTAAGTAGTATGTTGAATTTAAATGAAAAATATTCTTTCAAAGAATTGAACTGACCTTTTTCTATGACGTAACCACAAACCGTCGTTGTTGTATTACATTCCCTTGTAGTAGCTTTAGGTGCAATGAGAAACATTCGTAAGACTTCTTGTATAAACGAATCTAGATAGATCATATTATGAACTCGATCATAGTCGCTTTCATTTTTGTCTTGATGTTCATCGATTTCTCTACGAAGTTTTTCTTGAACAGTGGGATGTGTTGCGAAAATATACGTACAATAGGTGGCAGATCTCGAAACGGGCCATTCAGGCCGATGACCCGACTCGGCCCAAGAAGATTTTTATGCCGGACCGCCCGGTCCGAACTTTATTTCTTTTTTGCAAGGGAAATTTCTCGCACAAGGGAAAAGAAAAAACTGATTCTAATCGATTTCTTCCTAGCTAAAAATCGATTAAGACGGGACTATCATCATTTGATCAAAATTAGAATATTTAATTTTTAATTGATTTAAATGGTGATGGTCGTAAAACAGGTTTTTCTCGCGTTTTAAGTTGAAAACTCAAACTTTTGGTTTTTTTTCGAACTCCTTACCTTAGCAAATCGTGATTATCATACTAACCTAAACTTTGATACATATCCCAGGTGTTGAGATGGACATCAATTAATACTGACTCATGTAAGAAAAAATTTCGGTAAATTAAATTAGAATTAATTCTTTTACAAACAAGTATCACTTAAAATGATACTGTTTGAATCCAATCAAAATCTGACTTGTCAGCTTTAAGGATAGATTTCATTTGATTTTAATCATTCCTGATCCATTTCTAAAAAAACAATTTTAATCAATAAGACTTTATTATTCAATTAAAAACCGATTTGAAATAGTAAAATCTATTCAAATCTATTTTTCAAGTTGAAAAATTGAATTTCGGTAAGAATTGAATAGCATCATTTTAATCGATTTATTCAAGTTTTCCATCAAAATTTTCTACATGGGTTGTACATATCGGAATTGTTAACAATCAGGAAGCTTTATCATGCGAATGCTTTGAATATTTCATTTAGGCAATAAATGAAAACAAAGCATTTATTCAGTACGATAGCACTCTTCATCCACACAGAAAGCGAAGTGAACTATTAACTGCATTAAGCCATATGAACATTATTGAAGTGGAATAGTTTTAACTGTATACTAAAATTAGCAGGAAAAGTAGAAATATCAATCGATGTGACTCTTCAGAATTGATCGATTGGCATTTCACTTCTGCAAGACTCGTGCTAATAAATGATAGTATTCCAGAAGTTGAAGTACCGACGAACTCATCTTACTCTATTGATTCAGTAAGTAATTCGACTCGTTTCCCAGGCTCTTTTTTAAACTTTAACATTGTCTAACCTTATTGAACTCGTGATTACCAGGATAATTAATAAACTTTTTACACTGATTTGATAAATTACTTCAGTGTAGGGGTGATCAATTTACATTTACGCAAATTTAATAAATCCAAAGATGAATTTTTAGAAATTTAAATTTAAAGTGAATTAACAAGAAATAGCCATCCCTAACTCCAGTGGCCGTTGAGTTTCGTCATGTAAAAAGCTATTTTTTGTAAAAGAAATACAATTATAATAGCTCCGTTATGAGTTGGGCCGGACTGGGCCGAGCGAGCATTATTGATTCTTGACCCGGCATAAGCCGACTCGGGCCATAAAAAAGTGACCCGATTTCGAGGTCTGCCCCACACTCGCCCAGACCCACACCCCACATCCACACCTTTTTCCATTTAACTTTAAACAAATAGTAGTATTTCAATGATATTCTAGAAGTTGATGCTATTATTAATAAAGTATTTATTTTTTTCAGTAATATCATATATCGAAAAAACCAAAGAATGAAGGATATGAAAAATATTCGTTCGTTCTATTATCTTTGTTTTCTGTTTGATTTCAATATATTGTGCTGATCATGTATGATTAGTCATTGTCACTAAACTTACATTTTAGTTCTTATAAAGGGTGTGGATGTGTATGAGTGAAGAGAAGATCTACTTCCACCCGCACACTCATACTCTCAAAGGGAATAATAAAAAAAAGAAGTCTTGCCATTTGTTTAATCAGTAAAAACCAGCGTAAATATGTTGTTGGATGAACAAATCTTATGCTCGAAAATTTCTTTAAATTGTGTGCTCTTTGATTTCTCTAGCAGTTAATATATTACTTATTTTCGTAATTAGAGTCTCTTATTGTAGATGTTCATTTAAAGTTATCTATTTCGTTCAATTATTGGTGATCGAAACCAATCCAATTGAGGATATCTTTCAAGGACAATTGATAGATAACAATTCGGATAAAGTGGAAAGAAATTGTATTCATCGGTGATATTGTTCAATGGTCCATTTGTTGATGATGATGTCTGTAGAAAAGCTAATATAAAAAAAGATATTAGAAATAACATTAAATATGTCTGATAGTCTTCTTCAAATATGTATATATAAGTATCATATAAAAGCCAAAAACCGCGCCAGACAAATAGACACGATGCAAATGCCGATAGATGACGAATATTACGATAGAATTGTGGGAAATTAATTGCAACAAATGTCCAAAATTCATATCTCACATTTAATTCTTCAAAATATGTTTGAAAATACATTAGTGGAAAATAAAGAACATAACCAATAATTAAACATAAGCCGGCTGACATCGCAAAATTATGTGGATATAAATATTTGTCGAGAATATGGTAGAAACCACGCCATGCTATTATTGCTATATTTGATATGACAATTTCGTACAAAATGTAATTGAGCAAATTTATTTTCCATTGATCCATCTTCAATAAATATGACAATCAAATATTTCAATAGAATCTTCTATTATTAGATAAACTAGAAAATAAAAATATTTATGTACCTGTCTTGTTAGAAGTGGACAGCCAAATTGTAAACAATACTCAATTGAATCATAACTCATTAGAAACGGTGCACAGATTAAATCAGATATATGTCCAGTAAATACGATCAATGCAAAGATTGATGAAAATGAAAGTGTCAATTCAAAATACCATTCATGAGGTGTATACTGATCCCAAAAAGTCCATAACATAACCCATTGAATTATATAAATTGATGCTAATCCAAGAATATGCAGTTTCAATAGAACATTTCGTAGTAACCAATGTCGTGAATTTAAAAAGTTAAAGAGAAAATCTTGAGCAAGATAACACATGAGTAGACAGATCTGTGCAATGGCATATAAAATCAATAACAATCGTGATGGATAATCAGTATATTCTTCTGAATCGTATTCTTGTAAATGTAATGTCGACGCAGAACCATTTAAATGATTCAAAACAATCAACGTTAAATTCCAACCACATTGCCAGAAAAGAATAAGAATTGGAAGTACAAGTAAACCACTGACAATTGGCTGGGCGAAAAATAAAAATGTACGTCGTTGTTGACTGGCTGGTTCTTGGTTAGATTCGGTGATATCCTCCTCGTTAATGGTCTCCTCTAGCGGTGGATACCTTGAAGATATTATCGATATTCGACGTCTTAGCATAGTTTCATTATCTTGTTCAGTTGCTTCCGTCAAAAAGAGTTGTTGAGGTGCATCGGGACCATTGGGTGGGACTAGTAATTGTGGATGATATTCAGTACCATGTGGCGAAAATATTTGTGATACAGTCGATAACCGATGTTGAGCATTGATACATAAACTCAAACGACGATCATGTTCTTCTCGCATAAAAACAGGCAATGCTGCTGATTGTCTTCGACCCGTTATTTGTTGTATTCGTTGATAATTTTGAGCCATGTCTCGTCTCGTTCACTCTCAAAGTGACGTTTCTCTAACTGATCGTCTGTATGCAAGGAGCAAGATTGAATCTATCTTTTTTACAAGTAGCCATCAGCAAAAAGTATTTTATGAGACCTAATTTTATAATTGTTCTGTTTATAATAGTGGAAGACGATAAAACAAGACAATAATTCACATATGTTTTCGCTTAGCTCAGCAAATTTTTTCAGGAAACCAGAAAGGCAATTGTATAAAACTTGTCTAGAATGATCAAAATTAAGATATAACAATGTGCATCATCTAAAAGACATTTCAAACGAATTTCTAGTCGAAGGTTTTTGTTATTTACAAAACATTGTTCGAAATGATACTAGAAATGTGACAATTTCTCACAAGACTTTCGTCGTCAAAAAATCAGATTGTTTAAAAAAATGTATCATTGACTTTTTGTTATCAAGGTTAGATAAGGTTTGAACGATCCCAATTCAATTCTAATGAAAACTATGTTCTCATTGCTTTGACAAAAAATAAGTCTTGAAGACAGTTAGCTAGTTGGAAAACAATGCTTGAGAAAGCTTTCATTAAAAAAATCAATTCATTTGACATACAGTGTAGACAGAATGATTTTTTTATTTTTCACTTTGACTACACAGAATTTAAGCTTCTGTGATGTTATACTGAAATCCAAAATATTAGAGTTCACCCACGCAATTATAAAAAGTTACCAGGCAAGCAATGTTGACATTCCTCGCCTGTCCCACAAGCATCAATGAAATCTATGATTTTTTTTTGTAATTTTGGATTAGCTTTAAAACTAAAAGATGGCAAAATCCATATAATATTTCAAATGATAGAATGATTAATGCTCTACATAGCAATGTATTTCGGCTCGTTTTGCTAATTCGCAAGGCCGATCTATGACTAGCTGAACTTGTACTAGTGATTCCAAGATATATATGTATATACATATACGTATTATCATGTATTTTCGACTGAACGTACCCTGAATCAAAACATCTCAAATATCTGATGTAATATTCTTGTAGTCCGAAAAAATTTTAAATTAAATAGTATGTAAAACTTTCTTCTACATTGTGATCACAGACAGTTAAGTTGGGTCATAATTTGACCACTATAAAGTTGCTTCTCTTTTCTGTCGGTTTCATTCAAACCCACACATGATACCTCCCTAGAATACTGTGGAAAATCGTAACTAGAATGACTTTATAGACTAAACAGTCGAATTTGAAGTGTATCCAATCTGGTGGGGTCATTATTTGACAATCATATGGACTTGTTCGTACTTGAACGAACCCGATTCTTTGCAAAAGACACAGCATCTGACAAGGAAAGTACTTAAGTGGCTAATCGTTTTTTGAGTCTTGACTGTGTGCATAAGATAGATCCTAGTGAGGTATGAAAAACTCCAAAAGGATAAGAGCCCATAGGCCTTCCCTTCAAAGTTCTATCCATTTTACTGAAACTTCAACCAATAGCACATTATACACTAACGATTCGAATGAAAATATTTCGATCTGAAATTTTGCGCACGGATAGATCTACGTATAACTAGAATGCTCTGAAATTTTCAGCTAAAAGAGATGTTTGCTTTACGAGATATTGAATTTCTAAAAATCACTCATATCCCATGAAAGATGCGAGAGTCTCATGTTTTTTTCGGAAATTCAATATCTCGTGGAGCAAACATCTCTTTTAGCTGAAAATTGTAGGACATTCTAGTTATAAGTAGGCCCATCTGTGGGCAAAATTTCAGGTCGAAATGCTCTCATTCGAATCGTTAGAGTATTACGTGCTATTGACTAAAATCCCAGTAAAACAGCTATAACTCTAAAGGAAAACCTATGGCCTCTTATCGTTTTGGGATTTTCCATATCTCACTGAAGTCTACCTTATGCATAGAATTCGAATTCAAAAACGATTAATCATTTGACGTACTTTCCTAGTGAGTGACAGTAGATGCACTATTAAAAATTGACACATTTTTAGCTCGAGAACTCACTAGTCATGGAAAGTATTTGACAAATAATTCTGAATTGATCCATTAAAAGATAACATGTAAATAACTAATTTTTTTCAGTTTTTGATGCTCTATCGTTCTGCATATTACACGAAAAATTTCGTTGATTTATTGTCTTCCTTAAAAGATCAACTTTACATAAGCCATGTTTGATGATATTCCTCAAATAGCTTCGTTAGTGCTCGAAAACCCAATCGAGCGACCGTCTTACCAGTTCAACAAAACGGACTAAAAATTTGGTTTTAGAGGTTTTAGATGATGCTGATTACGATGACAATATCAAATCAAAAGATGAAATTTTGACCCGTGCCTTGTATACTGGGATGATCTTCAGTCTTCTCAAGGACGCTCTTTTAACAGCCTCTCAAGTTGCAAATACCAGGATTTCAGAACTTTTTTAGCAGATGATAAAACTTAATCAAAAATAGATTTGCGACAGAAATATCGAAATCACAGATGTTTTGATACATCAAGAAATTTTCTCGTAAGATTTCAATGTTTTCCGAGTTGATTGAAATTCGAAAAAAATGAATTTTTTTTAATTTTAATACTTTGCCACTTCTCCAGCATATGATTGGAACTCTTTGGTCAGAAAAGGTTTAGAAAAAAAGACGACAATTGGAAGGTCGGATTTTTCACCCATGTCGTGTCACTTCGGATTTCGTCTGTGTCATCATCGTTCAAATGAAGTCGACACAGATCAAAGTTGAGTTTATAGTGACAACGACGATGGTGATCACCAACAACAGGATTCTGACTCATCAACAATGCTTTGCACTCATGCTGATAGCTCATAGAATGAAAATGCAAGTATACATCACTGCTGCACATGGCTTCTAATGGTGATGGATGAGTGCAGTCATGCGCTTGACAAGTTCGTGTGGAGATCGAGAAAGAAGCGACAATGGAGACTGGCAAACAGGAAAGCAATATTTTGCGACAGTTGTAAGCGCTTCCAAGTTGCAGATAAAATAGATGCTTGCATAGCACTAACGTTTTTCGTATGAATAGTGATAGAAACATGTGCGATAAAAATGCTGAGGTGACGGTCTGCCGTGCAACGATAAAAAGATAGGAGAAAGAAAGAAAACAAAAGATACAGCAACAACAAGCTACGACGAAAGAAAACGACTACAGACGAGAAGCAAGCCGTTCGCTATCACACCTGCACTGCTGGCCAATAGTAGCTCTGCTATCGAATATCAATCAGGGTGTGAATGTAAATGTAGGTGTCTGGGTGTGGGGTAGATGTGGGTGTGGGGTAGATGTGGGTGTGGGTCTTCTTTTCACACTTACACCCACGCCTACACCCACGCCTACACCCATAACCACACACCCTCCCACCGGAAAAATAGGAGGTGCAGCCCTTATACTACCATCATGCAAGGGTAAAAATAATCTAGATGTGTGCCTGCAAACGTTCAATTTTGAACAAATGAATGATTATCATCAAAATGGCATCGGGGGTGTGGATGTGGTTGTAGCTACGTGTTGGTCTGACTGTTCTTCTTTAACAGTTTTAAACCAACACGAACAACCATATCACATCTGCGACCATATCTAGCTCCCCATTCACAACCATTTTCTGTAATTCAATGGTTCCGTAGTAATAGAATCATTTATATGAATCTTCACTAGTTTCAATAAATCGGTTTACTGCATTTGTCTTCGAAGTTTCACATGTAAGAGTGACACGCAAATCGCTTCAAAACTCTGGTTAAGACATCCGAGATTCAGAGTGCACCTCACCCAATTGAAATGCATTAATCATAGAAAAATGTCGAAACGCCATACAATTATTGCTTAAATTAGAGCTTTGACGTGCAGTAGCACATAAGCAGATCGAGCTATAATACTTCATCGATCAACAATCCATTCTTGTTGTATCATCATTGACCATGACATCTAACACTTTGTCTTCTCCTGATTTCCATCCAAAATAAAAATAAATAGATGATCGCTCACAAAATCTAATTGAGATTTCAACATCAGTTTTTCTCTCACTATTTTTCCAGATCAGTCGTCGAATAAATGTTCAGGTCGAGTAAAATCTTTGAAGTATTTGGTAAATCACATGAAAGCAATCGTGATACCAAAATAAACTATTGCTTTTATTAATACCTGTTTCTTAACAGTTTTAATTTTGCATTTTCTCTTTTCTTTTGGTACTTGTCCGAATTGAAAAATTGTCATTGTGCAAAACGTATGATAATGTTAAGTATACAAACAGTTCGAATGTGGATGTGGGTTTGGGTATGATTGTATGAATCTTCGTATTTCTTTTAAACTTCATCGGCACCCTCTTTGTGCGACATCATTTTTAGACAGCAAACATCATGTGCTCTGTGTAGAGGCTATAGTTATAGAGGAATCGAACAATGGCAATTTTCAGATCACGATAAAACATTTTTCTGTAATTAATCTATTTTCAAGGAAGTTGATGCGCAAAACTATTTCTAATTCAAACTGAATGTATATAAGTCATTTCTTTCACTTTCACATTTTTAACAAATAATGGCTATATTATGAAGTATTCTAGATTATATCAATTTATGCATCAGCTTCTACCTCCGGCAAGTTAATTTGCAGTAGTCCAAATTCTCTTAATGTTATTCGGCCTGATTTATTTTATATTTTTTTAAGGCAGTGTTGCAATCGGTAGGGTTTTTCTTCTTGATGGTATTCGATCAGTCGATAGACCACAATGACTTATGATTCACTTTTCTCATGTTTTTAGAATAAACATACATCTGTTGATTATTCGTACCAATCTATGAATCACTGCCAAAATAGCGTGAGGATTTTTCAATGTTACAGGACCTTTTGTTAATCGCGGTTGTCAATGACTGTTGAAGTATAGGGCAAGAAAATTGATTCTATTACTCTCCAACTTGCTTCAAAGACCACGGCACTACCGATAATTTTTCAAATCTACTTTTAGTAATTTTGATGATTTTGTAATGGCTTAGCAGGTTTTCAGCAATGTTGCTTTTTTATTTTGTCATACTCTGTCTTTTAGACGATAGGGTTGCAACAAGAGGATGAAATACAAGCTCTAAATCTCGGCTTAATTCGAGGATACGTCGACGCTTCCTTCTATGACTATTAGCCTTGATGAAGTTTATCTAGTATTCATGTATCTGGGGCCTAATAGTTTGACTTCATTTTTATTTAAGTCTGTATGGTGATGAAATCCCAGATATTACATGGAACTTAGCTGATGCTCAAATATTGAAGCGCAATGAAATATTTGGGCTTCAGTATTAGTAGAAACTAATATGCTCGTGACCCCCATTGATGTTAAACTGAAACAGCTAAGAACTTCTAGAGAATAGTTTTGATATATGCTTAGAGAACGATGAAATAAGGAGTTTTTGCCCTTTTCTCGATGATTTCCTAAAGTAGTTTGACTTTTTGACGGCGATCTTCTTTAGACTTGATTTAAAGATACCACTGGTTTCTTTTGAAATAAAAAACTAAGAATATACCAAGGTATGAAATTTCTCGAAAAAACCACCTACGCAAAGATCCACATCAAAATGTTTACTCATATAACGCGAATCTGTTATCTTTTTAGATCTTCTATTAGTATATGCAGATGCAACACAAACTTTTTGAAGACTTTTTCTTTTCATCGTTTGAGGTGCAAGAGAATGTCAACAATGTCGATTGCTTCTCTTTAGAATTATAATCAATTATCGAAAGTGATTTTTGAATTAGTCATTTAATTTTTTGGATCATTTTTTTCCTGTAAATTCCATATGAGGTTGATGACTGTATATAGCATAGTAACTTCTCTTTTATCATATCATTTTCGTGCCAACATGTTATCTGTACTCTAATAAACTTGTTGATCCCTCCCCTAAGTTTATCTTCAAACTTTGTTAAACTAACTCTATTTACTGTTATAGGACAATATGTGTCAGTTGACCTTGCATGTAATTTTTTAAAAAGTACAGAACTTGTCAACTAACTATCTATAAGATTAAATTATGACCTTTATCTAAGGAAGCTTGCATCCAAATCATAATAATTGAACCAGAAATGATACTTCTAATATATAAAATATGCCCCTGGTGAGATTCATCAATTTATCCCTATCTATTATAGATGAGAACAGTGAGTAATTCCTCTACTAGCCTACTCCAATTTTGACACCGTAAATGTACGGATTTCGCCGTCAAAGGGTTAAGTAAAACCTTCGACACATTAGAAGAATTCTACCTTTTCTAAGATGTGGGATGAGTTGTCCTCTGACCTGTTTTTGCGTCGTTTATTCAAGAGAGGGTCCTCTTTCTCATCGGAAGATGAGTTCTTCTCATGTGTCGAAAACTTTAGCTCAATCATGTTCAATATTTTTATTCCATACCTGTTCCATTGAAAGCTTGTTCTTCAACATCTGTTTCTGTAGGTTTTCTCATTTTTCAGCGTTTATCCATGGACCTAAAATTTTATACGCATACTGTTTTTCGATTACACTTTTTATATCAATAAAATGTTCGTCACATATAGAAATTCTGAATTCAATGTACAGTGTGTGAAAAAATGTCTGTCCAGGTGGTAACACTGCAATTTTAAACAACACCTGCAATACATTTTATATCAAACGAAAGCTAGTGAAACATGGAATCTATCAATACTAAATAGTATGAAATATGATCAGTTTTCAGGGTCGAGTTTAAGAAATTCCCAACACTTGAAGTTATATCAGCAGAGAAACATCTCTTTTCTGAGGCAGGTCAAAGTAGATCTCACATGAAATGATGAGTGTCACAAAGTGCTGGATACCTGACTTGAAAATATCTGAAAAAGAGTCAAAACTAAATCTGTGAAAAATCACTTTCAGACCCGAAACACATGATTTAGGATGAAGAGACTCTAAAAAGAACATAATTCGTATGTTTTGGCAAATATCAAAACTCACAGTGATATATTTCAAATTGTTTCATGTTCGTATTTGTCTCATTTTTTTGCTGTAAAAACGTTAATAGCCATCAGCCTGATTATTGATTGTCTTCATCAAATCTTAAAAATTTAAACATTATCTTTTGATATTCATTATTTTATCAGAGATCGACGTTCACGTATCTCATGAACGAAATTTTTCTCTGTTGATATAATGTAAAATTTTAGGAATTTCTTAAATTTGACACTGAAAATTTATCATACTTCTTGCTATTAAGTATCGATCGTGTGCATATACTCTAGGTTTCTTATTGGATTCACTTTTTCATCTCTTTTGTCTCTGCGAAAGGCATCACATATATAACAGAAAAAAAACTAATCATAATGATAATATGAAATGGTATCGATGTGACTTCATAAAATATACACGATGTATTTTAGTGTGTATTTGATGGAAGTACTGATTGATACCAGCAAGCTTGGTTTCACATGAGAAAAGCAAACATCTGTATAATGAACCTGCTGGAAAACCAACATGCGAAAACTTAAAATATCTATGCTTGTCAGTAAGAAATTCTTTACCAGATTGGCTGTCTAATGTCAGATACAGGTCAAAGCATTGTCATGATAGTGAGGATGAATATGACGAGGTAAAAATATTCTATTCACTTTCATTCGTAGTATCCTCTCATAAGCTTACGCACTCCATTCTTAGCGCTTGTAAAGTTTCAAACCGTCTACAAGATAACATTTTTATGTTCGCTCTGCTGAATGAACATGGATGCGAGTATTTTTTGAAATGAGGATCCGCACCGATAATCTTCAGAACAATCTATGATAGAATCCAAAATGCAGCTTCTGAACAAAACAGCGAATTTTTTTACAACTTCTGGCTCTCGAATCAATTTAAAGTACGGAGCTCATTGGAAAACAGAATCTCCAAGGCTCGAAAGGCTAAACTGGCATTTCGAAATGTGTGTCACAGCTTCTAATTTCAATTAGATCGACTTCTCTTGTCTGATCATAGCCTTAAACACACCGTTTCAAGGTTTCTTTTGGTAAAGAGCGTATTGCTTGCTTCATATAGCATTTTCTATCTATCTTCTCTTTTGTTTCTTGTACTTACTATGACTAAAGAAAAACATACAACGAATAGTCTATACGGCAGTATCAGGCTCTGTGAAGAAATCAAACTGATATTATTCAACATTGTAGAGAGTTTGATATATGTTACTGTTCTAGATATGACGTCCCCAGCAAAACAATATAAATACGTCGATGAAGAGACGATTGATGACAAGCTCATCTGCAGCATTTGTCAGCAACCTTTCCTATTACCCGTTCGTGTTGAATGTGAACACGTATTTTGTCGATTGTGCATCGACACTTGGACCAAGCAGAATAGATCTTGTCCAATATGTCGTCACGAATTCCAGACTGAATACACGTTGAGCAACGTGACAATTTACAGTTTGTGGCATCAACTAGATTCTCTTCCAGTTCGATGTCTCCGATGCAATAAAAATGGTATTCCACGAGGTAAATTCGAAGAACACATAAAACGATGCTTAAAAAACAAGACGGCAGTGATTTCGAAGTTTTTCCGCAAGTGCTCAGTACCTATGAAAACAATGGTGAGAACAAGTCCAAGTCGTCGTCCAAGAACATCTATATCAACAACACCTACACACACAACTGAAGCTGTTAATGCTAGCCAGGAAGCAAAGATTTTTGTTAATCGTGAAATCTTAAATGAAAAGTTAAATCTTACTGAGAAAACTCTACGGCAAAGATCATTTCCAACATCGACTGTAATTCGATCACATGCATCTACACGAAGCTTTGACACATATGATACCCATAACTTAACGAGAACAGCAACTGGTTGGATTCCTGCTATTATTTGTGCTATTTTTCTGTTGACCATATGGAGGATAGCACCTGATTCTGTTACTTTCAGTCTTAATATCTTAATAAGAGTTATGAATATTGTTGCTGATATTTTAGCGACCGTTATAAGTATCTGTGCTAATATTTCAACGGAAGTTATTACAGTTATTACTGTCTGTTGTGAAGTTTTAACGACAGTTATTACAGTTATCACTGTATGTTGTGAAGCTTTAATGGCAGTTATTGTTATCATTTTTGAAATTTTAAGCGCAGTGTTTAGTATATTTTCTCTTGGTTGAATTTGAAAAAAAAACGAATTTCGGCAAACTCATCATTGTTTAGGTCGATTCCGTAGGTTTGGCAGAGCTTATGGTGAGTGTAGGTGTGAGAGCTAGTGTGGGTGTGTGGATGTGAGTCTTCCCTTCGCTCACACCCACATCCTCGCATGCTTAC